CCCCCCCCCAACCTGACAGAGACGCGTCCGTGAAGACTGACACGTGACGTGGGTCTGCTGACGGGGACTCCCTCTGACAGAGCCAGGGTGTTTCCCCAGTGTCGGAGGTCTGCTCCCATGGAGGGAGGGACAGTGATCATCCGTCTCTTTTGTTTTACTGGATCCACACGCAGACGCGTAAACCACCTCTGGAGGCGTCTCATGTGTAACAAACCCAGCGAGACCACTGTGTGAGCTGATGACGTCATTCCCAACAGCTTCATGACGGAGACAGCTGTTACCACTTTGCCAGGTCTTACGTGGCGTAATTGGTTTTTAGAGTGTCGATTCTTGTTTGTGATAAACGAGCCGTCATGGTAATTGAGTTTAATTCCACTCCCAGATAACAATTATCTGGGCCGGGAAAATCGAGCTCTTCTTCCAGTTATGGCGAAACCCAGATTTAGCAGGTGTGATGCTAACACCTGAGCCTGTATCAATGCTTCCTGTCTGGAGTGAGACAGGGGCAGCAGGTCGTCCAGGTAAAACAAAACTCTCATCCCTGCTTGTGCAGTGGATGCAGGGCTGTCTCCACACACTTTGAGAACGTACGAGGCGCGAGGGAGTACCCAAAAAAAGGCAACCTGTTGTACTGGTACTTCATCCCTTGAAAGGCGAAACGCAGAAATTTTCTGTGTTTTGGGATGATTGGTGTGTGAAAATAGGCATCTTTTAAAACGATGGAGACAAACCAGTCGTTTTCCTGGATGTTGTCCAACAGCTGTCTGTTCATCAACATGTGAAAAAATCTGTTCATGATCGCTTTGTTGAAAGCTGACAGATCCAGAATCGGTCTCATCCCTCCGGTCCTTTTGGGGACCAGGAAGTAGCGTGAGTAAAACCCTGTGTTTTCCTCCTCGTTGGGAACTCTTGAGATTACACCTTTTATCAGAAGCTCTTGGACTTCTGCATTTAAGGCTGAGACTTGGTCTGGTGATGACAGGACCGTCTCTATAACTCCTCCGAACGGAGGGGGTCGGGTTGCAAACTGCAGCGTGTAACCCTTGCATAACACTCTGTCCATCCATCTGTCCGGTGAGCATGTTTTTAACCACTCTGCGTGACGTTCGTGGAGTGGACGTGCGTTTAAATGATGTGCCGTGTTTTGAACGGATGTCATCCAAAACTCCGCCTCGACCGCCGTCATGCGTCGCGGAAATGTTTTCCGCGTGACCCAAGGCGAGGCTTTCTCGAAAGGGCTGTTCTGCGCGCGCCCGCGCGCTGTGACTGGATCGCGGACCAACCTTCATGTCCGGGCGGGGCGGTAGCTGTGTGCTGAGGCGAGGCGTGTGTCAGCTGATGAAGTGAAGGTTGTGAGCCTCGCGGGAGCGCACGTTTCCTCTGGAGGGACGCGCGCCGCTCTCGCTGAGGGCGGGGCCCGTCATTAGATTCATTCAGCTGTCTCACGCTTATGCCGCCGTGAGCTGCTGATCGCTGGGACGCGGTGGATGACGGCCACTCGCGTTCATACAGGAGAGGCGTGTGTTGTTTTCGCTGAGAGCAGGGACCTCCACCGGACCCGGCCTGCGGTCCCACATTTATCCCGATGTGGGCCGGTGAGCGCCGGGCAGCTGTGCGTGCATCATCGACACAGTGCCGTTGGATGGAGGCTGCTTGTCTCGCTCGGGAGCGCGTTAACACCGTTGGGAGGTGATCGTGCGGGTCTGATTGACAACAAGTTATTTCGCTTACCGTGGTGTCACGTGAGCGTCTGGGCATGTGAAGGAGCGGCGGTGGATTTAAAAAACCTTTATTTAAGGACACCGGCTCTTATGAGTGGAGGATGTGTGTGTAGCGGCTGTGAGCTCATCCGAGCTTACAGACTGGCTAAAAACAGGCATTTTGATCTTTGAAAAATCATTTATTCAATTCCTGTGTCATTTATACACACATCCTCCGCAGACCGTCATTTCTTAAAACTTCTCCCCCGTGAGCTCTGCGGTTTGTTTGCTCCGAGCGCCGTCTGCAGGCGATCTCTGGGGAAAACGCTGAAGTGCAGGCTGCCGGACTGAGGAGGGGTGGTCTCTGGCGGGCGGGGCTGGTGGTGGAGCTGGGCGAGACGAAGCTGCTGCTGCCGTGGAGCGTCGATGTTTCTGCCTCTGCTTTTGACGATCTCTCCAGCGGGCTGGAGGACGGAATGAGCCGCGCGGCTTGATGAGATGGCGTACAGCTTCCGACGTCTCCTCCGACTGCTTCGAATTCGTCAGCATGGACGTCAAGCTGCTTCCGAACAGCGCGTCCGATGAGATGGGGCCCTCCATCCGGTCTTTGTGCAGCTTTTCCGGCAGCAATGGAGAGTGACGGAGCCAGATGGAACGTTGGATTACCGTCATCCATGCTACAATCCTCGACAGGCAAACCGAGGGAGCGGCGCACATGTTGAGGATGGCGTCTGCCGATTACACAGGGAGCTCTTTGTCTCCTCCGGCAGGTGTGAGGTCTCCAGCCTTTTCGACATGCTAAATGCTAGCAGCGCATGTTGTTGCTAACTGCGGTTGCCTGAAAACACGTCGGTGGGCTCGATTGGAGAGCTTTGGTCGCCGTCTGGTTCCTCCGGAGGGACGGGACGCTGCTCCGACCTGGACAGCTTCGCTCCGGAAGCTTCCGCGAGGCTTGGCTCCAGGGGAGGGAACCGAGGAATAGCGTCAGTTGCCTTACAGAAGGAGTTCTTTGTCTCCAAGGCAGGTCTGCGGCCTTCAGTCCCTTGGACATGCTATATGCTAGCAGCGCACGTTGTTGCTAACTGCGGCTGCCTGGAAAAACACGTCAGTGAAAAAAATAACCTTTCCGCCGATCATCCGAACTGGCGGGAAAAGGCGAGGGACGTAGAAAAAAAGGGGTCCCTTCATGTCAGCCTCCTCCCGGGTTCCGCCGGGCAACCCCTGAGGGCGCTGTCGGCCGGGAGCGGTGTGATCGCCGATGCGAAAACGAGGTGGGATGGGGTGAGCATTCACTCAGCCCCCCTCCACCTACACTACGCTCCCCGGGAGGGAATGAGCAGCGGGGGCTGCAGCTGAGCACACCTTGCCCCGGAGGAACCATCCGGTTCACCCCGAGGGTCGGCGATAAGAGGAAAAACACAAGATGGCGTTGTCCAGCGTGTAATGACCTGTCACTGGGAAATGTTCCCGGACGCTTACCTTGGAATAAGACTGCTGTCATCTTCTCCTCGGGAGGAGAACTCACCGGACGACCGGAGGTCGACTGCCGGGCCAAGCATCCTTCACAAGGTTGGTCATTTACACAATTTATCTTCTTTGTTCTTCTGACAGTGCTATATTAGCTCGCTGAAGAAAAAATGGGAGCCGATTTCCCGCTCTTAACGTAATTTATACGGACCGGGTGGGGCCCACACAGCAGGTGGGCGTGGACTAATTTTTTTCAGTGCTTATGCTGCGCATAACGGGATAAACCATCAGCGACAGCCTTAAAGGGCGAAGCCTATATGAAATAGAACTGCAAAACTCATAACAACCTTATCAAAAACTATTTTTCTTCTTTCGGCTGCTCCCTTCTTCAGGGGTCGCCACAGCGAATTAAGTCGCATGAAGACTTGGCAATTATGTTTACGCCGGATGCCCTTCATGACACAACCACAGACCACCGAGCTACCACAGCCCTCTGTGTGGAGCAGAGAGCTGCTATCTAGGGCGCCTGGGGGAGCACCTGGTGGGGGTTAAGAGCCTTGCTCAGGGGCTCAGAGTGGGGAAAATAAGGGTGGGGGCAGGTGTAGATGCTTCACCTTTCCCATCCACATTTTGATGTTGTCGGTCTGGAGAGTTGAACCAGCGATCTTCTGATCACAGGCTCACCTTCTCTAACCTCTGTGCCACCACATCGCCATCATCAAAAACAACTATAGGACTTTAAAGGGAAGTCCTTTAGGAGCAGGTTTTATATAGCAGAAGTGTTAGTTTGTACATTAATACAGAAAAATGTGCAAGTTTATGCATTACAGTAATTTGTTCCTTCTAGTGCTTTTTTAAATTTGTAAGGACGATTCTAAATACAGTTTATGATGTGTGAAAATAAGCATAGCTTTTGTTTTGTTAAGGGCCAAATTAAATCAGTCACATGTAAACATTTTGAGCTGGGATTTGATCATTTTTCCTGTAATTTGTTTCCCTTCCAGTTAGGCAACAACTTTACATGTAGACTGATATATTTTTTAAATCTATAAAGAGAAGTAGATATTAACTAATAAGCACATTCTCTATGTTTCTTCAGGTTTGGAGCACAACAAACATAACTCCAGGCTTAAATGGAAATTATCACAGCACTTCAGTCCTGTAAGATATAAAATGGAGTGTAATGAAATTGGCATCTTTGAGACTTACATTAAAAAAAAAAAACTAAATTTGTTTTCAGCAAAACTATTTACAAAGACTATAAATTGGTTCACAACTTGCTTTCATAAATATGGATCTTTACTTCTCTGAGTTAAAAAAAAAATGCTGTCAATGGGACATCAGACCTGCTGAGGTGGCCAAAAACAAATCAGTACACATAAAAACAACATCCTGACAAAAACATCACACAAAAGTTTAAAAACCTATTTGGGTAAACAGTGTTAAAAAAAAGACGCTTAATTCAAGGCATAATGGTACTAACACTTCAAAATAAGCCACCAACACACCAAGAATGTTATTACTGGGAAAAACAAAACAACAATTAGATTAAATGAGCTCAATAAATAAAAATATTGTAAACAATAATGTCTTTAGCTGCTCTTACAGTGTTGCACTCGCCATCAATGGAACCTGTACTTTCGAGCCGGCTTCAGGTTGACATACGTCTTCTTCATGTCCTCAGACTCGTTTGTCTTCACAACCTGATATCGCTCTCCTTTTGTGGTTACTACCTGGTTACCATGGTAACGAACAAGCTTCTTTGGGGCCTGTAAGAAAAAAAAAAAAATGCATCAGACATTAAACATTGAAAATATGACATGAAACATTCATGTGTAAAAACTAAAATAACCCAAGTCTTACGTCTTTGGGGGCAACAGGTCGATGCGTTTTCTTATCTTCCTCTCTGTCCACTAGCATGTACCTTTTGAGATGCAACATAATTATTAACTTGAAGATGATGAGAGTTTTGTTGAACAATAATGAGTCATCACTCACTTCTCGAGTATGCCCTCTTTAAGTTTCTGGTCTGCCAGTGAAGAAATACTTTTTCCATGATTTACCTGAGGCAACAAGATCATCAGCTCATTAAAAAAAAAGTTTATATTTCAGAATCATTACTTCTGTGTAACAGAGACTCACGTTAAGAGGAGTGGGACTGAGCTGCACATCGCCCTCAATGATAAGGCGCACAGCTTCCTCCATGTCTCCTTTGGCAATAGACAAAGCACTGCGAGCCTCCGACAAACTGCACTTTGGAAACATCTCCAGCAGGTGCTGTTCCTGGGACTCCCACTCAGACTCTGACAGCTGAACACATACATAATTATATTTTTAGCTGTTAACATCTATGGTGAGATGTACAAAATGGGCAACACAATGTGCTTGTACTAAAATGACAACCTTTGCAGTGGCACCCTCTGTTTTAAGGCACTGAGGCTCTTTTCCTGGTGGCGGTTGACTGGGCAGGTTGGTGAGTTTCGATGAAATCTCCTCTCTTCTTGCCTCCGGCACACTGTTTTCTTCATAAGCAAAAAAAAAAACAGTTAAACTAACAAACTAGGGTTCATCATCTTACATCAAAACAAAATATTAATCATTTTGATATGATTTAACAGAAAACATTTTAATGGAGGTAGAGCTGACAAAGTACTAAATGCATAAGTAAAGGTAAAAAATGCACTACCTGATGTCCGAGCAGTGGCTAGTTTTGAAGCCAGACTGAACATCATTTCACAAACTTTGACACTAAAACAGAAAAACATCTGCATTAACATCAAATGACACAACTGCAGTTTATTGGGCTTACCTAGTACTAGTCAGAACTAGGCCTGTCACGATAAATTCTGCTGGGCGATCAATTGTCTCAGAAATTATTGCGATAAACGATAACATTATTTGAAATGTGACAATAATTAGTAATTACTGTCAATTTTAAGAAGAAATGTTGGTTAATTTTGTGTTTAGCGCCTTTTTTGACCACCAGACAGCAGTGTAAGACTGTGAATCGAAGGATGGATAGTGAGGGAGCGAGCAGCGTGTCTCTTTAAGAAAAATGGGAGGGAGGCCCCTTGATTTGACATGGGCTGTCTCTCCTTCCTGGTTTTTTTGATTCTCAAAATGGTGGATGCTCGGTGTGGTTTGAGCTCTTTAGCATAGCATTTGTCACACAAAGCTTTAAATAAAAAAAAAATCAGTAAACAAGTTCTCAGCTTCTTTTTGCAGAGAAAAACAACTTTTTTGTCGAAGGCACGGGTTTCAACTGTGAATTTTGGAGCTTTGACAAGACGGAGGTCTCAGGAGGACTCAGCTGAGCTGCTTTTAATGATCCAAAAACACGATTTTGGATGGTTAAATGGATTTTAAAGAAAAAAGAAAAAAGGGAAGGGTCAGTGAAGAGCACCGGAGTTGGACCTTTTGTCATCCAGTGTCTTCAGTAGAAACAGAGACGAAAAAAACGATAAAGCTGATAAATGAAAATGAGGTCGATAATTTTCATTTATCATGCTATTAATTGATTGTTTATTGGAATAGGCCTAATCAGAACACAGAGTTTTACAATTTTACCTGTCAATTTCAGCAAACCCAGGAATGTAAGCTTCCAGCATTTCTGCAAAGACCTCCACATCAAAATTCTCCTCAACACTTTGCTGGGAACCCAGATCCTCCAGAACTCCGGTGATATAAGACAGAAGAACATCATCCAGTGTGCTGCATTGAATGGTAGAAAGGTGTATAAAAATAAAAGTATGTAGACTTGCCAAGCCCTATTTTTCACTAAGCAAGCAAGCAAATAAATCCATACCAGCTTGCATAATAATTAGAATTTGAAATTGAGTCAATTAAAAGTTAGCAAAAACAACTGTAAAATTCTTGCAAACACGATAGAAGATTGCAGTTTGTAAAATAAAAACTTTAAGTAGGCTGGCATGAAATGATCCTGTAGTAGTAAAAACTACATCTTACTAAATATGCAGTAAAAGTGGAAATAGCTTTGTTTACCTGAGATCCGCATCAGGAATGTAGTTCTGGATAAACTCGTGCAGCGCACTGTGGATGATTTTTTGGAGGTCCATTGCTGTACTACAGAAATAAAATAAAAACAGTGTCAAAGTTAATGTTCTGTATACTTTAAATATCCAAATCGAACAACTGTCATTCGTGTACCGAGCTCAGGCCTCCTGTAACAAAAAAAATAAAAATTCTTACAGAAAAAATGTTCCTATGAACGACACAACCTCCCTTATGACCTCTCGTTTCAGCTTTGCTGCCTGGCGCTAGCACACGAAGCTAATGCATTTTTACTAAATTACCCAGTGTAGTATACCTCTACAATTTTGTATTATTGCATAAATGTTACTGCTTTCAAGAAATGCCTCGTCCTTTCATGCAAATGACTAACCTTAAAATTATGTAAGAGCAATAACGGCGAACTAGCTCTGTTAGCTAATGCTAAGTGTTACCTTGATAACGCTTAAATTCTGAGCACGATTAACGGACTAAAACTCACCCAGAGAGAGATTATAGATACATGAAGCTTTCAAGTTTCCCTCAGATGTGCAAGAAGGTGAGGACGATCAGTTCTGACAAGTTTAGGGCTCGACGACGCTTCTTGTTGTTAGCCCGCACGATTCAAAACGTCATGACGTCATTTCCTCAAAGTGTAAACATCCGGGTCCTGCTTTGGTGCCAAAACATGAAATATACACAAACTGGACAGAATGGGCAAAACACAACAAACAAGGTGAAATAGAAGAAAATAAAACATTTCAAGAGCTGATCTAAAGGTACAGTAAAAATTCACTTGTTGAGATTTCAACTAGCAAAAAAAGAATGACAGGTTAAGTCATGGGTGAGAGGTCAAAGAATATGGTCTGAGGTGATACCTGTGATTTAGTGGTTCAGGCTTATTTTAATGTGTGCTGGCCATAAGTTCATTAAAATGCTCATATGAAACTAAACTCAAATATTTTCATATATATACATATATAAATTGCGCCGCTCAAGGTGGCTGCATGTTGGAGCAGCTCTGTTACTTTCATTCTGAGATTTTGCTTTTGGAAACTTTAATTCCTCTTTTTCTGGATGTAAATCACATTTTTTTGGATGATTGTTTCCTCTGGTATCGGATGCTGTGCAGCTGGAAGGATTTTTACTGAAACTTTTTTAGTTTTGGACATTTGTTATGATGCGTAACCATGGCAACAAGGCAGTTTCTACAACCAACAGCAGCTGATTAACATCTCAAAAGCTCAAGTAATATCTCAGCTACAGCCTCAAATCTCAAATGAGTTGAAAAGGATGTTCTGTGGACGCATTTTCATCTACCTGCCAGCTGTGCTCGAGTGCCTGACCACTGAGATCCTGGAACTAGCAGGAAACACGGCTCATGACAGCGGAAGGACAGGATCGTCCATCAGCACCTACAGTTGGCTGTCCGCAGCGATGGGAGCTCAACAAGCTGCTGGGAAGAGTGGCCATTGCCCTGGGAGGATTTCTGCCCAACATTCAGGTGATCCTGAAGCCCAGGAGGCCAACCAAGTGCAAGTAAACGGATCAACATCTGTGGCCAGTTTTTTCAGATCTGCTATAAGACGGACCATCACAAGAGATCCTTCCCGCCCACAACCATCAACATCTGGAACAACTCTTTTATGAAACAAGGAAAATGAGCTACAACAACATTCAATTTCCCTCTGGGATTAATAAAGTATTTTTGAATTTG